GAATTTGCTTCGAACTTCGAAGGTTCGAAGCGTCTTCAAAAATTATAATTAAGAATTTTTTGATGAATCACCGCTGACCGATATAGCAGCAGTCCATATGCAAATCCCGGGCGTTTGCCCCCGGGGTTAATTTTCAAAATACAAATGTAGGCTAAATCCCGGGTCTCCGGGGCGTGATTTTAAAACAAATTCCGTGCCATGCCCGGGGGTTGCCCGTGAGTTGCCCGGGGGTCGACCCCCCGGGAAAGCCGCTGATACCTGCATTAACTATCAAAGTACTGAAAGTGGGGAGTGTTAGGATGAATTGCATCTAAATGTGTTAACAACAAACAATGCAAAATAGTCTGGTGTTAGACAGGCCAAAATATTGAGCTTTGAAAAAGAGCAGATTAGTGTGAATTGGGTCTTAATGAGTTTACACATAACACATAGGGACAGCAAGAAAACCTATCAAAGTTGTCCACTCTCTTTCACAAGTAAAATATTTGATCTGGTGTTAGACAAGGTAAAATAAAAAAGTACTGAAGGTTGAGCATATTCATCTTTATAATGAGTTAGTGTGAAATGTAAGATAAGTAGAGACCGAGTCTTGTTAACTTGAATATACCATCCACATAGTTAAATGTTAATTTCATAGAAAAACATGGAGAATTTTCCTGGCACACCTCTCCCAATGAAATATCAAATTTTAATTTGAACAATAACATATGAATAAATATTAGAATCTTAGAAAGGTTGCTGCTGATTTGAGCAAGTAGATAAATTTTCAAACTACATGTAATATGAGCATATAGTATTTTATAATATAGCATTTGTAAATTCTGAACGCTGATTGGCTAAGAGCCGTGTTGATATAACTCCATGTCAACACGGGAAATTTTCCGCCGCTTGTAACACGGAAATTGTTCTTATTCTTCAAGCTTTTGACATTGCTATATTATAAAACAAATATAAAACATTTTTTCCGTATTGATATATAGTTATATCAACACTCGTGGAAGTTGGGAAAACTCGAAATTGTGTGAAAACACTCCGCCCTTCGGGCGTCGTGTTTCCACACAATTTCTCGTTTTCCCAATTTCCACTCGTGTTGATATAACTGTATATCAACACGGAAAATGTTTTATATTTGTTAAATATGTAATAGGCATGCTTAATGTCTGCAATTAATCTTGCATATACAGTTGGCATATACAAAGATATTAACCAATAAACATGGATAAGTCTAATTCAAATATAGAACTCTTATAGTAGCATTTATTGAAGTATAAATGCCAGCTATAAATATATTTATATCAGCGTTCTAATCATTATTGTCGCGGCAAATTCAAATTTTAAACCGATCGAAACACATGCTCGAATTTCACGAATGAAGATTGGACAAGGTATTCCTATATGATTTGCTTTATTATAAACAAAATATAAACATATTCTTACCTGAACATTATACAAACATTGCTGATGTATTACTAGTGAAAATCCAGTTGAATCTCATCAAAAATAGTTTTATTTTTTTTATCATAAAGCATTCACAAACGAAAAAATAAAAAATATCGGAGGTGTGATGACCTATCCCAAGATGCTTTGTGCGAGTGGCAAAAAACTAGACACCAGTCTTTTGGTCGCGCACATTGCGGTAATTATTCATTTAATAGACCTTATTCATAAATCGTGACGAGGCCTCGTATCCTAGGATACGGGAACAAAACGCGGGAAAACAAGCGAAAACAGCTTGACAAGCCAAATTCAGATCCTATTGTGTCGACTTTAGCGGCTTGTTTCTTGTTGCTTTTTGCGATTTATAACGATTTTTGTGTGTATTTTAAGACTTTGTGCCCACAACGAAAGCGGTAAACGAGTATATTATAAAAGCGACCGGTTTTTCTCCCATTTTTGTGTGGAAAAAATGACAACGTGTTTATCCAGAAGCGAAAAACAGTATTTTACTGAGATTTTATCGTCAATATAAAGGTTATTCCGTGAAAAATCAAGACAACTATGGAATGAAAGTATAATTTTTCAAATTTGACAGTAATATGAAAGAAAACAACAGGTCAAAAATCACAGCGAACGTCAAATGTTATTGATTCGTACGGAAAAATATGAACTATGGCTGTGGCTCGATAACATTCTGAAAGCAGCTTACAAGTTTAAAAAATGAAGGCTACATTACCTGAGTGAGTTGTAATCCTGTTTCGTCAACAATAGTTTTATATTTCTTACGATTTTGGTGTTGTATAGACGTTTTGTAGCCTTGTTGGTTGTTTGTTTCGGCCATACAAACTACGACAATAATACAAAGTCAAAGGTTTCCTTTTTCGATTGACTCCAGCATCTTTTGCTTTAAATATCATGTTATATTTTCTCAGAAGTATTTGTTTCAACTTTCAAGCTCAGTTTTATAGATATATTTTCGAAAAATGCCGTAATATTCACGAAAAAAAGCTGCCATAGCCGACAGCAAAAAAAAACATTTTGTCAATTTTCCCGCGTTTTGTTCCCGTTTCCTAGGATACGAGGCCTCATCACGATTTATGAATAAGGTCTATTAAGGTAGAAAATAAATTTATGAACCTTATTTATTTTCCAATCCTATAGAAATTCCTATTGGAATTTTTATTTCCTATATGTATATATATAGGAATTTCTTTTTCCTTAAAGGAATTTTTTCACCATTTTCAAATCTTACATGAATTCCTATAGGAACTTTCAAATCCTATAGGAATTTCATTTTCTATAGGAATTCCTATAGAAAATTTTCGTAAGGGTTGCCATAGAAATCATATGTATGGATTCTCTATGGGAGGCCAGAACCACACCAAGTTCAGACTACCATATAATTCCCATAGATATGGGAACTATATGGGACAACAAACTGTGCACTACCATATAATTCCCATAGATATGGGAACTATATGGGACAACAAACTGTGCACTACCATATAATTCCCATAGATATGGAAAGTATATGGCAACCAAGTGTAGACTACCATATAATTCCCATAGATATGGAAAGTATATGGGACAACCAAGTGTGGACTACTACCATATAATTCCCATAGAATTGGTCATATGTAAAAATGTGCCATTGATATGGATTACCTATGGACCAAGTAACCCGACAGATTTTCCATAGGATTAATAACAATGTGTTTGTTTCCATAGCTTTTCCATATCTCGATACTTAACAAATTTAGACACCATACCAATCCCATATGATATCTATACTGTCCCATATCATTCCCACATATGGGTCATATATGGCCCAAACTTTGCCATATCTTTCCCATACTTTTGCTTTGGTAAGGGTGAATATGAAGATATTCTTCAAAACGATATCAGGTATTTTATGCGGAAGCAAGAAAATGAGTCAAGCGACAGCCAATTACAAACCTGCCACCGTCCAGCAAGTGGTGATACAGTATTACTTACCAGTGATGAAGACAAATCTATGAGTACAAATGAAGAAGAATCTAAGAATACAAATGAAGAAGAATCTATGAGTACAAATGAAGAAGAATCTAAGAATACAAATGAAGTAGAATCTAAGAGTACAAATGAAGAAGAATCTAAGAGTGTAAATGAAGAAGACAGGGCTGAAGGGCAAATGTACATTGAAGAAAAGATCCATCCTGTCAACACAGAAATATATTATGGTCCTAAGCAGAACGAAGCAGTATGAAAATTATGTCATAGGAGAAAATGAAAGAAAGAAGTCAAGTTGTTGGAAAATACTAATCTACCCTCGCAAAAATGTGAAGATGCAAATCAGAAGAGGATAGAGAAGTAGAAAATATTTAGTTTGACACAAACAGAACCCATGAATACCAACATCATAGTGGAAGAGAAAAAAAATATTGAGTTCAAAGAAGTGGAAATGGAAAGGGTTCCTTTTTCGTGACTTTAGAGTGACAGATTACCAAGAATCAGGGGGCTACTGGTAGTAGAACAGTGGTGGAATTAGTTGAAATTTTACACAAGCAAGAGTCCAGAAACCTTGCAGACACTAAAAAAACAGACATTTTCCGATTTTGTTAATATTAGTTTGTTTAAAGGGTTGAGTTTGACAGAATATGTTCTTGCCAAGAAGGCGAAATGTAAAGAAATACACAAAGATTGTAATGCATGTCCAAAGTGTTCACTTTTAATTGATGCTGCATACATAGTTCTTAACAAAGGCCCAGTATCACTACCTTATCTTTGGAATAGATTTTTCCCCAATATTCCATACAAAAGTGGAAAAGCAAAACGAAAAATTCTTCAAATGCCAGTTTGTGCTTTAGTATCTGGTTCAATTTATATCACTGAGAAGAAAGAAACATTCCAAGAATATAGCACCCTTCAAAACAAAATACAGTCAAATTTAATTTCAAAGAATAAATCATATATTCCAAGAGAGGACTATGAGGCAATAGTTTCCATTGCACAAGGAGAACCTGAAAAGGAACTATTAAAACATACATTGTGTAGTTCTCAGAATATTTCGAGAAGGGAAGCTAGTAAAGTGTATGGGATATCAAAACTGAAAGAAAGAGCTGATAATATTGACAAAACTGCAATTGTTATGAAGGAAATAAGAGAGAGACAATGTGCTTTGGCAAAATTAGAGAAAAAACTTTTTTGCTTTCATGTGGGGAAAACGTTGATGAGTTCTTGACAAGTAGTTCAGATTCATTTATTGAAACAGATACTGAACTTAGCTCACATGATGAGAGTGTATTAAGTGACATAGAAGAAAATATGTCGAAAATGAAAACCAAGGCAACAATGGTACATCATATACTACAAACATAGCGGATAAACATAAAACTGAGAGTAATATTCAAACAGGAGTGAACTTACTAAGAGAAGTGTTGTTAATTGATTTGCTTTTGTTGTCTTAGTGCAATCCAAGTTTGTTTCTGCAGACAGAGGTATGCTAGATTTGTTCATGATTGACATTGCCTCATGGTTGGATTTGATGAAGAGGAAGTTGCGTTGATCGACGAATCACGGGTTGCTTATTTAGAAACAATTCGACAGAATGAAATTAATATGGAAGCTATGTCATTTTCTTACCGGCTCTAGTATAGAGGAATCAGAAGGAGAGAGAGGCTGTCCAAGGCTTTCTCTGCTGCTTCTGCTTGGACAGAAGTAGCTGCGTTCATGGCATCCATCATTAAATTGTCAAACTTGACCTTGTCTTGCGTTGAACTGAAGTATTTTTGATGACAACAGATATCTTGCTTTATATGGAATTTATCTACAACTGTTTTGTTCTTAACATCATTTCCTTCAACCATGCAAAGACTCTTCCACAGAGCACCGCCTTTGTCACCTACATAGAAATTAGGATCCAAACCACGCCCAACAGCATTTATTGGATCAATCCCGTCCTCATCAGCTACTGTTGGTAGCATCTTATTTACAGCTTGGTCAAAAGTACATTACACAAACGCTATGCCACACCGGCTTGAACTAGAATCTTATGCAACACAGGCGCTATGCCACACAGGCTTGGACTAGAATCTTATGCCACCCAGGCTTTATGCCCCACAGGCTTGAACAAGACTCTCATGCCACACAGGCTTTATGACACACAAGCTCGAACTAACATCTTATTCCCCACAGGCTCTATGCCACACAAGCTTGAACTATGAGAATCTTATGCCACAAAGGCTTGAACAAGAATCGGATGCCACACAGGCTTGAATGAGAAGCATATGCCATACAGGCTTTACGCCACCCAGGCTTGAACTAGAATTGTATGCCATGCCGGCTTGAACCAGAATCTTATGCCACAGGACAGGTTTGAACTAAAATCTTATGTCACCCAGGCTTGAACTAGAATCTTATGCCACACAGGATTGAACTACTGTAGAATTTATGCCACACAGGCGTGAACTAGGATCTTATGCCACACAGGATTGAACTACTGTAGAATTTATGCCACACAGGCGTGAACTAGGATCTTATGCCACACAGGATTGAACTACTGTAGAATCTTATGCCACACAGGCTTGAACTAGAGTCTTATGCCACACAGGATTGAACTACTGTAGAATCTTATGCCACACAGGCGTGAACTAGAGTCTTATGCCACACAGGCTTGAACTAGAGTCTTATGCCACACAGGATTGAACTACTGTAGAATCTTATGCCACACAGGCTTGAACTAGAATCCTACGCCACACAGGATTGAACTACTGTAGAATCTTATGCCACACAGGCGTGAACTAGGATCTTATGCCACACAGGATTGAACTACTGTAGAATCTTATGCCACACAGGCTTGAACTAGAGTCTTATGCCACACAGGCTTGAACTAGAGTCTTATGCCACACAGGATTGAACTACTGTAGAATCTTATGCCACACAGGCTTGAACTAGAATCCTACGCCACACAGGATTGAACTACTGTAGAATCTTATGCCACACAGGCGTGAACTAGGATCTTATGCCACACAGGATTGAACTACTGTAGAATCTTATGCCACACAGGCTTGAACTAGAGTCTTATGCCACACAGGATTGAACTACTGTAGAATCTTATGCCACACAGGCGTGAACTAGAGTCTTATGCCACACAGGCTCTATGAGGCTTGAACTAGAATCCTACGCCACACAGGCTGGAACTACAGTACAACTGTATGCCACACAGGCTTAACTAAAATCTTATGCCACACAGGCATGAACTAAAAACTTGTGCCACACAGGCTTGAACGAAAATCTTATGCCACACAGGCTCTATGTGAACTAAAAACTTGTGCCACAGAGGCTTTATCTTATGCCACACAGGCTTGAACTAGGATCTTATGCCACACAGGATTGAACTACTGTAGAATCTTATGCCACACAGGCTTGAACTAGAATCCTACGCCACACAGGCTGGAACTACAGTACAACTGTATGCCACACAGGCTTAACTAAAATCTTATGCCACACAGGCATGAACTAAAAACTTGTGCCACACAGGCTTGAACGAAAATCTTATGCCACACAGGCTCTATGTCACACAGGCTTGAACTAGAATCTTATGCCACACAGGCGTGAACTAAAAACTTGTGCCACAGAGGCTTTATGCCACACAGGCTTGAACAAAAATCTTATGCCACACAGGCTGTTTGCCACACATGCTTGAACTAGAATCTTATGCCACACAGGCATGAACTAAAAACTTGTGCCACAGAGGCTTTATGCCACACAGGCTTGAACAAAAATCTTATGCCACACAGGCTGTTTGCCACACATGCTTGAACTAGAATCTTATGCCACACAGGCATGAACTAAAAACTTGTGCCACAGAGGCTTTATGCCACACAGGCTTGAACAAAAATCTTATGCCACACAGGCTGTTTGCCACACATGCTTGAACTAGAATCTTATGCCACACAGGCATGAACTAAAAACTTGTGCCACAGAGGCTTTATGCCACACAGGCTTGAACAAAAATCTTATGCCACACAGGCTGTTTGCCACACATGCTTGAACTAGAATCTTATGCCACACAGGCATGAACTAAAAACTTGTGCCACAGAGGCTTTATGCCACACAGGCTTGAACAAAAATCTTATGCCACACAGGCTGTTTGCCACACATGCTTGAACTAGAATCTTATGCCACACAGGCATGAACTAAAAACTTGTGCCACAGAGGCTTTATGCCACACAGGCTTGAACAAAAATCTTATGCCACACGCTCTATGCCACACCGGCTTGAACTACAATCTGATGCCACTCGAATCTGATGCCACACAGGCTATATTCACACAGGCTTGAACAAAAATCTTATGCCACACAGGCTGTTTGCCACACATGCTTGAACTAGAATCTTATACCACACATGCTCTATGCCACACCGGCTTGAACTACAATCTGATGCCACTCGAATCTGATGCCACACAGGCTATATTCACATGAACTAAAAATGATTTTAAAGTAGCTGACCAACTGATGGATGAAGTCAGGAATCTAATTAGAGAGAGCTCTTGTTACCATAAGAGAGCTCACTCGAAAAGTACAGCACATGAATTTAAAGATGGAAGTTCTCCATCAGAGCCAGAAGGAAGCCAAAATATGATCGCAAAATTTTTTAAAGGCAACTGAAATGTTGCAAGCACTTCCACATTGACTGCTACAACAGATGGTATTGCAAAGCAAGAAAAAGCAGATAAACCAGTAGATGGAGTTATCAGCACTGATCATTCTCCTCAAAGTGATGATACGTTGATTGTGTCTGACAGTTCTGAACTACAATTGTCTTTTTAGATGCATCTTGTCCTAGTGGGAGAGAAGAAAAACAACTGATGTCTATTTTTATTAAACAGAACAAAAATATTAAGAGTTTCAAACATTTACTGGTTAAAAAAGTATTTATTTGGATGAGCTTTCGACTGCCAGTCTGCATTCTTCAAAGGGGAGATTAAAGTGAATGATGTGATATTTACAGTGGTTTACAATTACAATATATTGACACAACATGCAATTATTGACAGTTCCACCTACTTAAAAGATTAATGACTATTCACATTGTAAATAATTTAAGGTTTTAGTGGTTTTTTTAGTAGAAAGTGGTATTGTTCTGGCAAATGTTTTGAATTATTTTCCGAGTTATCAATGCATGCAGTGTGCCAAGATTCTAATGTCGATCTGTGTTGATAGTTGCCTTTGTCAATAATTTTTCTGGTTACAAAGTCAATTCTATTATGGTTTTTCCACTCATGGTTCGCGATGTTTGAGCCTCTTTTATATTTCTCCATGTTTCATTTGTGTTCTCTTCTCCTAGTTTTGAAGGCTCTGCTTGTCTCTCCAATGTAGCTCCATGAGCAATCAGAACAGTTAATCTGATAAACTACGTTTGTCTGATCTTCTGGTGGTAGTCGGTCTTTAGTTGAAGGGAATATTTGCTCTAGTGTGCGGAGAGGTTTCGTGGTTACTCCAATGTCATAAGGTTTTAGAATTCGTTTCAGTGGCTCTGTTAGTCCTTTGATGCATGGGAGGACAGCATAATTATAGTTGCTCTTTGTTTCCACAGAGTCAAAAAATAAACGTACAAGTTCTTCGGGTGAAGGAGTTTGGTCTTGTTGCATGATACCTTTCTGTTCTACTTGTTGTAGGAATTTCTTAGGACACCCATTTGTCATGAACATGTTTGTTATATGTTTGCGTTCTTGTTGTTTTCCTTCGTTTGTGTTAAATAATGTTGCTGCTCTGTGTAACAGTGTCAGTGCAGTGCTAATTTTGTGTTGTTTGTCATGGTGCGATTTATAGTCTAAGTATCTGTTAGTGTGTGTAGGTTTTCGGTATACGTCAATGGAAAGAGATCCGTTGTTGCGTGTGATTAAAGTGTCTAAAAATGAAAGTTTTCCATTGAGTTCCTGTTCTGTGGTAAAATTAATATGCGGATCAATAGAGTTAAGTAAATTGTAAAAGTTGGTCAACACACGTTTCTTAATGATAGAAAAGACATCATCGACATAGCGAAACCATATCTTTGGTGGCTTTGATTTTTAAGTGCTGTGTCCTCAATTTCCTCCATACAGAGGTTTGCCACAATAGGGGTAACAGGACTTCCCATAGCACAACCATGAATTTGTTTGTAGGTTTTCTTGTTGTAATTAAAATAACTATTAGTAAGAGTAAAGCGTAAAAGTTTGATGATGTTATCAATTGATAGTTTGGTTCTGTGATGTAAGGTTTTGTCTTTCTCGAGTTGGTTGCATATGTGTTCACATGCCTTGTCAACTGGAATTGCTGTAAAAAGTGATATAACGTCAAAAGACACCATGATTTCGTCATCGTCATTATGAGTTTCAGTGAGTTTCTTGGCAAAGTCAATGGAGTTTTTAACAGAGTAACCGTGACAGAATGTTTGAGACAAATTTAGAGGTGTTATAAAGAGCTGTGTTCCTACATGTCTAACGATAGGATGGAGTGATTGTTAGGCTTGTGGTGCTTGACAGATCCTCATATGGCAGGTCATATGGCAAGGGACGAACAAGCCATCCTAGAGAAAGGCCCCAAATATGCTCCAACACCTTCTCAAATTCCCCCAGACCCCCACAAGAATATAGTTGCCGAGATTGAAGCTGTAATCATTGACCTACCTCATGAATCCAAGGATTTCATCTGAACATCAGCAGCAAACCTTTAAGACAGTGTCAACTACCAAGTCACAAGAACACTACAGCCAACAAATGCAAAGCAATTGATGAACTCAGGAAAGACAAAACTCGGATAGTAATGAAAGCAGACAAAGGAGACTGTTTTGTAGTGATGGACCGAAGTGACTACGACGAAAAGATGCAACATTTGCTAGACGATCAACAAACCTACCAGAAAGTGACTAAACTTCCCTTCAAAATAATCGAACATGACCTAAACGCACGTTTACTTCAACTGAAACACGAACAGAAACTAGACCAAAACACGTACAAAAAACTGCATTCTACTGATGCCATACGACCTACCATACGAGGATCTGTTAAACACCACAAACCTAACAATCCACTGGGGAGGCCTGCACCGGAATGGTTAAAGCACCAGGTGTTCCTGCAAAAAACGCAGCACAACATTATGCAGATCTTCAGATGCTAGAAGAGAATGAAGAAATTCGCGAGCTATTTTGGAATAGTGAATCCCAAGAACGAAAAGAAATTGAATGTGCTCGAGTTGACAGAGGTTTTGACAAGGCTCCGTCCCATTGCAAGGTTCAATATTGGTGGACGGTTCGTCACCTTGTAACCAGTTGCAGAATGACGTTAGTAACATCTAGAAACAGTGGTGTGAGCTATAGGAAACTGCACAGAGCTGCAAAATGGCAGTCTTGGTCATGCTGGCCTTTTTATTCCTTCAATTCTTAATGGCTCCTGTATTAGTGGTGGAAACATTGACCACAATTTGCTGCGTAAAATTTGGATGCTGCTATAAATGTGTATATATCAAGAGTTAATAAAACTCCCTGTGCCGGAACAGTTATTAATCTATACAAGGGAGCAGACAGTAAAGCATATCAGGAGGAAAATGAGTTTCTTTAATGTTTGTGATTTTTTAAATTTTCTTGAAAGGAAAGAAAGAAGAAAGGGAAAAGCAAAAGAAAGATCATCCTGAGAAATCTGCTTGTGCTCAAGCAATTTGGAATCTACGGAAAAGACATATGAGAACAGATGTTCCATAAAAGTATATCTTTTTGTGTGAGGTGTTGCTACCAAACTGACTGTAAACATTCTTTGTGTCATAAAGGTAAGCCTAGTGAAGTACCCACATGGTATCTTGATGGCCCACCCTTGTCTTTCCTACTTGTGCCTTGTTCTGATCCTGAACGTTGCTGTGGTATGAGTGTCTCATTGTAGTATCTCCTCCAGTGTGAATGTACCTTTATCTTCATGTATATTCATATTATTAAAAATGATTTTCCCTTGTTTTGCTCCATGTTTATAAGTGGTGTTTTTAAAAAGCTTGAAATATGTAGCTTTTCTCGTGTGGGTGGAGAAAGTTACCTTTATTTGATTAGTTTTCTCACATTTTTGTCAAATCCCCTCCCTAGTCCCGGCCTCCCCAACCTCGTACCCAGGGCTTCTGCGCTTATTGCTCTCAGAAGCCCTGGGATAATCCAACTCAGAACGTGATTTGATTGGTCAATGCGAATTTTGGCAACATGGCTGCTATCACAAGGAGTGTATACAAAAGTTAAATGCTGGTTTTTGCATGAAAATACTTTCTTAAATCAAATTCTGGGCTATTTTGAAAAGAGCAAAAGAAGAAATGGACTATTTGTATTTGTAAATAAGCAAGAATGGCGAACAAAGTAAAAAATTAACATAAAGCGAAACATTTCTCGTTCGAAAATTGAAATTTCAAGTATAAATCTGCAACTTCAACCACGATATTCAATGTAAATATTACATAATACAGTTTTTAATACCTTTTTTTTATTAATTACCTTTATTTGATAAATTGTGTGTTCTATATTATTGCATTTTGTATTGGAATAGGATAAATTATTAATTATACACAAATATAATATTTAAATTTGCAAATTATTCCCAATTTGAGGATGCTGGGTGCACTGCTTCAGAGTTTGTATTAGTGCCTATTTATTATTGAGTTATAAGTGCCTCTAAATCTCTAATGTACAAACATTGTAACCTGTTACTTAATACCATAAAGAAACTGTTGATAGCACATATATTAAATGACTATTAATCAAAATAAAGTAAATCTTCGACTATTATATAGCATATTTCCTCCAATATTGAGGGAATGATTTCTCCTATTTATTTTTATAATAAGCCAATATTGCCCAACTGTGAAGTAAATATTGCCAGACTGGTCTAGTCTGCCCAACAATCTGGCCCGCCCCATACGCCTATGGCTAGGCCTACAGGTGGACCCCCAACCTGATCGGTCACAAGTTTTCTTTCTCCAAAATTTACCCTCCCCATGTACAAGGATTGACAATTTGACAACTTGATTAGATTTGGGGAAAAACCGCTGTTATATCCACAGAGGAAATTGAAAGTTAACCTCTCGTACCCCCTTGGATGTCCTAATGCATTTACTATTATCAGAAACAATTTTTTCCCCCTTCCCCTCCGGACGGCAGAAATTTCCTCTGTGGGGGGAGTGTGGATCTTTTCTGGAATGACCCATTTGAGAAATGCTTTTGCACAAATTTTAAATTTTCTTACAAACACAACTCATCACTGTATGTCGGAACACTGTTCTAAGTTGCAACTAAAATCCAGAGGTCTAAAAGGCTCAAGGGGGAGGGGTCAAAATATTTGAAATGTTCTAGACTTGTTTGTAGTTAAGTTGAGTTGAACATGTATTAACTGCATGGTTATTTCAAATCACCAAAACACATTAAAATAGCCCCCCAAAATGGCAGTTTACCAACTAAAAATTTAAAAAAGTCTACATTGTACTATATTATACATGGATAGCTTTGGAGTCCAAATACATTTTTACATAATAACAAATATTCAAATTAGTGCAGGCCCCTCCTGGGGATTTCAGTCCCCCTTGAAGGCCTTAATTAGAAATCCTGGCTACATCACTGCTCAATTCCATTGCCATGCAGTGGTGTTAGCATAATTAGACAGAGTATGTTAACAAACTAGTGTGTATTATGAGATAATCCATTGAGCACCAGTCTCTCTCCCAACATATAAAATCATCTGGTGTTAGACAGTCAGAGTAAAATAAAAAGTAGGACACAATGTATAACTTAATAGGTAAGGTCATTAACCAGAACTAAATGATAAACAATATTTTATAATATTAAACCCAAATTAGTTCAGCACCATTGGTTCTTATAACACTGTTCATTCCAATACTAGAATATCAATTGTCATTAATTAAAATGTATTTCAGTTGGCAATTAACAAAAGTTGGGGTTTCATCCGATGACATGTATGCTTCTAACCATGCTGTCCATGCAGCTATCTGACAGTTTTTAATTTTCAACATTCCCAAAGCCATTATTCTCAAGATTTGCCAAAAAGGTTTTCCAAATAAGTACATTCTTCAAGTAGATGCATGTTTACAGTAATCTTGTGTATTTATGATTAAATCGACCTTGCAATATCTTGTTCAAAACCGTCAAATCCAAGATAAACGACAGTCAGCCATATTACCAGTAGGATTTCTAGTTTGTTGACCTTAAAATGGCCAAGGTTTTACTCGAGTATAAATATTTACACTTTATTGAATAGCCCCTGTATATCGCTGACCACGTATTGCTGCTTTTGTCGCGGTATAAGATGTTCTTTTGCACGCCAAAGGGCTTATTTTACGCATAATTGTATCTCTAAATTGATCATTCCTGACTTTAAATTCCAAAAGCCACGCGAGAAGCAGTTTAAGACGTCTTTACAAGTCCAAATATACTAAATTGCAACAAATAATCCAGTCTCACTCCTTGCGTAAAAATATGCCCAGTCAGCGTTTTTAGCTGGATCTACTGTTTACTTCCGCTTCCGGGGGCACCACTGTTCTATGGTGTTCCGGTTTGGATTATCCCAGGGCTTCTGAGAGCAATAAGCGCAGAAGCCCTGGGTACGAGGTTGAGTCCAGTCCGAATTGGAGGATTTGAAATAACATCTCATACGAATAATCACTATTTAATTTTGTTCCAGTTCAAGGACTGAATTAATTTTCATCCAATCAATATACTTCAAAGGATCAACATACTTCCCCAGGTATCCCGTATTATCATGTGAGCAAAATAAAGCAATATGGTTGGTTAATTTACTCATGAATTATTAATGAGTTTGAAATTTTATAAAGTGCTTTAGTGTTTGCTGAAATTGTTTGACATCAAAAAACGGACGGGCATTGTTCAATTGATTTTGTTCATATTTCACAAAGTTGTTTGAAACTCATTCAAACTGACATATAAACAGTTATATACAACTTCGTTTGTAACAGTTATACAGCTATTTCAACTAAGGTTGTCGCCCGAGCAAAGCGGAAAAGTCGAATTCGAGCGCGAAAGGCTGCTGGGAATCGCTAAAAATTAATGAATTTATTAGCGATTCCCAGCAGCCTTTCACGCTCGTATTCGACTTTTCCGCTTTGCTCGTGGACAACCTTAATTGAAATAGCTGTATACAACTTCGTTTGTTACTTATTTCTAACGTCTTCTTTTCAGCGCTTTAGTCCTTGAATTTCTCACACATGGCCGTGAAAGTTCTTAGAAAATTTCTTGAATTTTACTCTCCCTAACGTGTACGAACCCTGAAGACGTAAATCGCGTGAACAAACCTTCAATTGCAGTTATTTCCTTGATGTGCTTCTCCAGTTTACGTTCTTTTGCCTTCATTGAACGACAGTCGTCAAAAAACTTGATGTACGTTAGACGCATTCCACATTTCCATGAATAACGTTTTAAACCCTTCAATTTTGAACTGTCGTCTTTATTACGGCTTGACTTCCGATCTTCCTATTAAATATATCGTTGAGAATTACTATCTTCAAGAACAATCTAAAAACTGAACCATCACTTTATAACAAATATTAATTTAATTATTTTCCTTTGTATATTAAAACAGTTCCTGCAGTTTTTTGTAATTTTAATTTTCGGGATATGGGTGTTTAGTATAATTACATAGGTGGTGATTATTGAAAATTCTCCACGCTGATTGGTTGCCGTTGAGGTGATTATTACGCGATAATCACCTAAGCGATTTTCAAAATGGCGGCCGAAGCCGTTTTGTCAATTAAAAGACGAAGAAATGTGCATTTTTTTATTTTTTCCAAATAATCACCTATGAAATTATACTAAAACAATTATTCACCTCAGGCTCGGTGATTATCGTGAATAAAAACCTCGACTTCGTCTCGGTTTTTCACCGATAATCACCTCGCCTTCGGCGAATAATTGTTAATTAGTAAGGCCAAAAACAATATGTGGGTTTCCTATTACTTCTTGTAAAAACTTACGTAGGGTAGGTCGATTTTAACCTTTTTTTTTAAACTTTTTTTTTAAATTTTCCTAACAACTGGACGCCATTTTGTTTAGTCAGTGCTTCCACATCCAAAGATAAATTTCCGGTCCCTAATGTTGTCTCAAATTTCTTTTTTCCACAAACGTTTTCGTCTATTAGTGGAAACACTTACAAACATAACATGATACAATGCGCATGATCCATTTCCGGTCGGGAAACCGGAAACCAACATATTTTTTTTGGTCTAATGTATTTTTTTGTTAGAACATTTTGCTGTAAATATTTTTATCCCTCTAACCGCAACCTTCCCTTTATATACTACAAAACCTACACCAACCTTTCCAGAAGAATTAGACCCGCGTTTCTTTTTCTCAATGACCACGCGGTCCTCATCAGAACTGTCATCATCAGTACTCTTTTTTCTTTTCTTTTTTCCAGAACTCGAATCACCAGAACTCTTGGTACTTGGCTTTTTTAAACATCTTTCATCGCTCTCACTATCGCTATAGTTTTGTTTATTATTTTTTGTATCAACCGAATTCTCAAAAGTTTTTAATTTACTTTTCAGAGCCATTAAGTTGTCATCACTGTCATCATCTGTGTCATTTTTAACCATTTCATTGCTTTGTTTCCTCTTTTGTCCCTTTGTAGAACTTTCTGCAAAATCATCTTCAGAAGACCCCGTATTATCTGCTTTGTCAACTTCTTTTTCCCTTTTCGCTAGTTTCGGCTTCTTTGTCGTTTTACTTCTCTCCTTGTCACTTCCTTCACTCTCATCTCTGTTTTCAACTGAATATTCAAATTTTTGCAGTTTACTTTTCAGAGCCACTAAGCTATCATCTTCCGAAAGACCGTCATTCTTACTTGCTTCATTACTTTCTTTTTGCTTTTTCTTTCCAGAACTTGCTTTACTTTCCTTTACAGACATTTCCTGATCACTTTCATCTGTACTGTTTTCTTGCTTTCCTTTAGGACCTTTAATGTCCTTTGGATTTTTTGTCGTGTTATTTTTCATCGTTTTCTTTTTATTCTCCCATGTTTTATCATCATTGATCAACACCACTTCGTCCTCGCTTTCATCTGTACTTCTCGCTTCATCTGTACTTCTCGCTTCAACTACATTTCGGCTTTTCTTCTCATCCCCGCCAAACAAGATTTTTGAAACTTCATTCCTGCCTTTACGTTTCATTTCTTTCTGTTTCTTGACTGATTTCTTACCACTGCTGTTTTTGTCTTGAGATATCTTACTTTCATTCACAAAATCATCTGATTCACCGCTGCATTCAATCTTTGTTTTTTTTACTTTCTTTCTTTTGTCCTTCTCATCACATGATTCGCCACTCATTTCTTCACTGGATTCACTTTCTTCCCTTTTTCGTTTATTTTTCGTTTTTGTAGATTTCTGCGCATTTGCCTTCACAGGTGTCTTCTCTCTGTCATTTCCATTATCTAGAATTGAAATCAAAACAGGCAAAATTTACATACGGCAAAATTTTAATCATTGCAAACTTTTAATATCACCTCGCATTCAAACATATTTATGCATTAAAAGTTATAATTTTGTTTCATTCAACAGTTGCAAGTACTGTTGCAGTATTTCGGTTTAATCATTAATAGAAAGTGTCCGGAAATCACTTTCAATACAACTGTCCTAAATCCAAACTATTTTGTTTCTACAGAGGTTGGTCATCACAAATGGTTTCTAGATCACAGGCAGACATTAGGGGAAGGGGGGACAGGGGTAATCAGCAATCACCTCTCCCACACACACACACACACACACACACACACACACACACACACACACACACACACACACACACACACACACACACACACACACACACACACACACACACACACACACACACACACAACTAGTAAACTTGATATTCTGTAAGTAAATTAGCGTTAACTTAAATCTCAGGGGCTGGTTGTACAAAAACTCTTAATCACTTTTTTAATCACTATTTTCAAATAGTGATTAACTTTCAGATAGGCGCTTCTTATTGGATGACGTTTGCACTTAATCATAGTTAACTTTAATCGCTTTTTTTATACAACCGGCCGGATTATCTGAGCAAGATTTGAGAACTGAGCACAAATTCACTCTCCCAGCTAGTCCTCTAACAGCTATAGTCCATTACTGTTGGAGGCTCAAGTTACCTTCTTGCTCATTTATTTCAACAAACACTTTGTCAACATTTGCTCTGACTTGAGATTTCAGATCCTTGTTTATTGAGTCCAAACCATATTTCTTCTTAAACTCATCCATGATAGTTCGCATTGTGAGAGAACTATGAGAAATAAGTATGTATGATGTATACAAGTATACAGACAACTGTGGAAAACTACTAAAAAGACTCAATCCTCCGCAGATTTTCATGTTCTAAGCAACTCAAAGCCTATGCAGAGGAGAGAGCTATAAAGACTAGAGGAATGGCATTCAGTTCCCATTATACAAGAAAAAAATTTCCCTATGGACCAGAAGTAAAGCCTGGTTCACATTGATCGTAAACATCGGCGATGCCTATTGTCGGTGGTCATTGATGCATAAAATGTTTTGTGCATTTTCTTCTTCGTTGCTCACAGACAATGGATCGTAGAACATCGCCGGTCAATGTGAACCAGGCTTAAGACTTGGATTAGTTAATTAATTGCTGCGGAGCGAGCGAGCGAGCGAGCCTGAAGCGAGCGAGCGTAGCAGCAGCCTAATATATGCAGAGAGGGGGTTTTGAACTAAATTTTATTAAGCGCATGGAATTGTGGTCGTGCGCGCTTTTTATGCGCAGAACACAAATTTTAAACTCGCTCGAGTCTTCGAATTTTTATCGAATTTCTAAAGCTTTCTCAAGTCTAATGTTACGCAACTTACGCTTACATTTGTTTTGGACTTTGGCCACTATCAGTTCTATATTTTTATCAAGTTTTGGTTTCTTAGTGTGATAAATCTGTGTATATAGTCTATATAATCACGGAATGTGGTACAGTAGATGCGCCTAGCATTAAAAAGACTTGATATGAAATCTGATCCTTAATTTCCTGTATTTCAATGAGACGCACATGTTTAATATACATGTATGTCACCTCTGATTGCCCTTTAACCTCTGGTCACCGGATTTGGAATTTTCAAATCCAGCCGGAACCGGATTTACCGGATTTGGACAAAAATTCCGGCCGGATTTGAGATAAACCAGTAATGGGGACAATTGGGGATAAATCAGTATTCAAAATGACGGTTTATGTTTTTTACTATTTTTAGTTAGTGTCAGTTTAGATTTTTTATTGTGTTTAAACCTTTTTTAAACATCTTTTTGTTAATAACTTAATATTTTATAATAATATAAGTGGTTTTTTTTTAACTTTAAAGCTGCCAAATTGATGGTTTATCCCATTGTTGGTGATTTTTTTAAGGTGAAGTCCGGCCGGATTTGAAATCCGTTGCACCCCTACTTGACACTTGCATGACACTTGCTATTTCAATGTATATTGCTTCTTCTCAGTTCCATTCACAGCTCACTAGACGCTGCGAGTAATCATTGATATAATGTGCTTTTTACTGTAGTTCTATTTGCTTTTAATGCCCGCAGCAATCCCTACCTTGCAGGTATGCTGTGCTGAATGGTTATATTACTACCTTAAAAAATAAGCAGAAACTCGACGTTTCGAGCGACGGCCCTTCATCTGGAGTTACTGGGTAACGGGTACAGTAACTCCAGACGAAGCGCCTTCGCTCGAAACGTCGAAATTCTTCTTAAAGTCCTCTGGTAGGAATTGAACCTACGGCCCTGCGATTCCTACCAGAGGACCTTGTGCTGCATTTTTCGCAGTCGTTCCTGGTCAGGTCTTAAAATGTATATATATATATATACTCACTTGGATTACAAACCCTAAGAACAGCATTAAAATATTAATACCACCAAGTGAAGTGCAAGAAACCAGATCATTGAAGCCCACCTTATCACAACCCGCACACCTATATATACATGAACTTACGGTTACAGCTCAACAGCTGGCCTCTGTAGCTCAGTTGGTTAAAGCGCTGCACCGGAATCACAGGGCCGTAGGTTAAATTCCTACCAGAGGACCTTGTGCTGCATTTTTCGCAGTCGTTCCTGGTCAGGTCTTAAAATGTATATATATACTCACTTGGATTACAAACACTAGTTTAATATATATACCCTGATATGTTTAAGGTTGTTTGCCAACCAAGTCTTCTGTACACGACTGTACACTTCATGAGCACATGGAGAAGATTAACCTATTGAGTGCCACTCTCCCGTTGACAAGTAAAATTGCCTGGCAGAGAGTGAATCACCACACATTGCCACTAAAAGGGTTAATTAAACCCTACTAAGTTTTTAATAAATATAATTATGTATAAATAAGTTTAAAAACGCACTGAAACATGCGGAAAACTAAATTCTGTATAGGTCAGGGATTGTACGGCAGCAGGGAAAGACATACAAGACAGCTGGGGCATTTACCCTCCCTAATATTTAGAAAACCAAGGAAATTTAAAATGTTGGGAAAAATCAAGAACATTTATGGAAACTTGATATAAGATGTGTTTACTTAATTAATATTACGTTTACTTTGTACTTTCCCTCATAAAAATTCATTGGCCACATGTACACTTTATTATAATATGCTAGGGGCAGCAGGGATTTCTAATTATCGCAAACATCGAAATATTTTTAGCCATACTGCAGTTGGTCAATACCAGAGGGTCAATACCATCTTCCAACTTTCTCCAAACTAAACTCTTATTGATACTGCAGTTGGTGGTCAATACCAGAGGGTCAATACCATCTTCCAACTTTCTCCAAACTAAACTCTTATTGATTCTCATTGTTTTAATATCTAGTTGGTCAATACCATCTTCCAACTTTCTCCAAACTAAACTCTTATTGATTCTCATTGTTTTAATATCTAGTTGGTCAATACCATCTTCCAACTTTCTCCAAACTAAACTCTTATTGATTCTCACTGTTTTAATATCTAGTTGGTCAAAACCATCTTCCAACTTTCTCCACTACTCTGGTGTGCCTTGGAAACTGTTCTGTGCCCCTACCACTAGAGTTTTAGCTTTCACACTCCAGAAATCTTGTTGAAAACTACTGAATGCAGCAGTGTGGATATTCAGGCACAGAATAGAGACGATACAGAAAGTCAACACAGCCAACAAAGCATAACCATGCCATGATTCACAATGACTCACAGGGATGCCGGAAGTTGCTGAGGGCAAGGGGTTCAATTGGTGAACAAGAGGGCATATTCCTTAACAAAAGGGCACTAATGAAAATGAAAGGGCATCTAAAAAATTTTTTTTGGCGACCTCCTTTTCCAAAAATGCCCTTTGCGCAAAAAATGCAATTTTAATGAAAATGTTTCACGTGCACCCGTATTCTGCACCCGCACTGCACCCACAAAGTTGAAAATGCAAAAGGCAAGGGGTGCACCTGCACCCGTGGTTCCGGCATCTCTGATGACTCATCATCAAAATGCATTCACCATGTTCCTAGCCAGTGTGCTTATGAAAGGGCATTCAGGGGATGAATGCCTCTGAGTGCACTGGCTAGGAACATGGCAACAGCATTGCAACAGTTACACCAAAATCATAGGCAAAGCTAAGTAGTCAATCTTCTGTATGCTCACTATTCCATGATTCAGAGCTACTGAAAGATTTTGCTGGGCCCAGCGCTGGTAATGACATCATCATTTTAGCATGGAGGACTTGTACTAAAAAATGAGCATATGCCCAACATTTAAGCAGCCGGTCAATTTGCCATTAAGTGTGATGAAATGTAATTGTCAACGGCCCCTTAGAAAATGAACCAATATAAATTAAGTCTTGGCACTCTTTCAAATTAGGGGTTCCTATCATGGCTATCAGGTTGGGCCTAACCTGAAGTTTATTTATTTTTATTTTATTTAATATTTTAAAAATTTCCCCATGTACCTGTACAATAAATTTATGTGTAGTATATTTACAATAATTGTAGAGTGCGGGCTAGAGACCTACTAGAAATCTTCGTAGACTTTTTATTTAGGTCTCTAGTTATGCTAGTTTGTATTATATTATGTAATAAATTACTTACCGTCAATCATAATATTAAAGGAATATAATATATTTACAAGAGAGAAAAAGAAGAGAAATTGTTTTTATTATAGGAGTGAATACCAATGTTGTAGATGCATTTGGGTTCTTATAAGAATTAGACTACAATATACTATTAATTTTGTCATATAGCAGAATGTTTTATAGCATGTCTTATACATTGTATAGTAAAAAATATTGTTTAATTTGCTTTTTGAAAGTGCTGTAGAAATTTATATCTATAAATTTTGTTTCTAATGAATTCCATACGTCAACTCCTTTATTTGAGAGAGTGTGTTCTGCATAATTTGTTCTTTTATAACATTTGTGAAGTTTTGATGCATTTCTTGTGTTATATTGATGAATTTGGTTATATTTGTGTTTAATTGATGAATTTGGAAGTTCAGGCCCTAATTTTAAATAGGGCCTGACACAAAACCTGTCTAAACTGTGGGATTCCCATCCATCTGGTGGACGGGAAATCTGATTGGTTGATCAGCATCATGAAAGATTTTGATTGGTTGCAAGTTCACATAAACAATAGTTTTAAAAATAGCTCGGTCAAGGCGATAATTAAGGTCAAACTCATGTATCAAATTCCATTATCAAATTTCTTTTTCTTTTATGCTTTATGGTAGAAAACAAATCAAACAAACAGTATTTTGAAAGGGCTTTATCAAAATCTTTGATGAAGTTTGGACACAAGACACTGAAAGAACAGCCAAACTAGTGAATGTATTCGAAAGCTTGTTGTTGACAGCCAAGATGTCTTTGCTGTTCTGCCAACTGGCTTCAGCAAAAGTCTTATTTATCAGGTCCTTCCAACCAGGGGTGTTTTCTGAGCTACATCACCTTCTTCGTGGTACGATTGAGAATTTCGTTGTTGCTGTTGTTAGCCCGTTAGAGTATATCCGCGTTCAGCAAGTTGAGACTTTGAGAAAGCTTGGCATTCAAGCCGTGCACAGAACAGACTAATTAAATATTTGTTTGCTGTTCGGTTAAATAGAGAAACTGAACTCTTAATTATATAAAAGTACCTTGAATTTTTAAGTTTAACTAAAAAGCAAAATGCACACTCTGCAGACATGTTCATGAGAATATAAATTTTTTGTGCAGTGGAAATCTACAACACTTGTCAATCAGATTGCATGACTGTCTAAAAATAACATGTGGGCATCCCACAGTCTAGACAAGTTTTGTGTCAGGCCCTATTTAAAATTAGGGCCTGAATTTCAGGTTAGGTTGGGCCCAGATCAAGATTACCTGCTCTGTAGTATGCCCAAAATATTAGCATTAATTAAGATCATATTGGATTTAAAGATTGTAGTTCTTATATTGGGTCATTCCAGAAAACATCCATACCTCCACCCACAGGGGAAATTGGAAATTAGCCCTCCCCCCCCCCCTCTCTATCCCCTTCAGATATCCTAAATATATATTTACTATTATCCAGGGCCACCCAGAGCTTTTTTGGGGCCCGGGACAAAATACCCTCTTGGGAGTTTTTGAGGGCCCCTTTCACTCCCTAAAATTCCCTTTTGGGGGCCCTCTTAAGCCTGTGGCAAATTGCCCCCTTTGCCCGCCCCTCTGGGCAACCCAGCTATTTAGTATTATCAGAAACAGATTTTTCTCCCCACTTCCTTCAGACAGCAGAAATTTCCCCCTTGGGGGAGTGTGGATCTTTCTGAAGCAACCCATTTGATAAAAGGTACTTAATTTTTGCAAAAGCTAAATAAATAAATTTAATATTTACTTAAGTCTGTATAAATTTCTATGTGCTCAGTAGTGTATAAACTTACTCAGCATTCTTGCTTGTTGTCAGCAGTTGAAAAACAAAATCATGTATGTTATCTGCACTGATTTCCATCTTGAAATACGTAGCAAATGTTATGATTCAATACAAAAATTTGTTCTCAATTTACGTCCTCTGACTCCTCTGATTTACATCCACCTCCAATTCCCGCCATTTTCTTTCATCTCATTTCCTGTTTTGTTCAGTCAATGGGTGGGATAAACCTCCCACCCTGTTGAACATCAATATGGAATAAAATAAAGTGAATATACTGTGTTTTATTGAGCTAAACTGTGAAATTCCACTTTTAAAGAAGGTGAAAGCATTGATAACAGACGTCAGTTCATATTTTTAAAACTTTTTTATTCCAAAAAACTAAAATATTTCTCGAAATATTTATTATCAAACGTCCTAGCCAGGGGGGTGATGCCACTTATATCCTGGCTACTCGGAACAGAGCATGCGCTTGTGTTTTCAAAATTCCAATATGGCGGCCGAGGTAAGCGTGAAATTTTGTATTTTTTCATAGTTTTTCATAATTTCTATTACTTAACAAGCAACACGTATGACAAAATATTATTATTATATTTTAAAGGATATAGTAAAGCATTCTGTGCATACGTTGGTATTTCGTTCGTTGAAAAGAACTCATGATATGTTTTTACACAATCACACTTTTCCACTGGAAAGAGACGCGGAAAGGTATGTTGTTTACAGTTGTTTATCTAAAATATATATTATTAAATAACTGGAATGTGATGCCAAAAGGTGTCTGTTTATAGTTGTTTATTTAAAATATATACTATTAAATATCAGTTCATCTATAAAGATATGTTCCTTCTCCATAGGCCAGACTGCAGAGTCTGGCAAGTGCACACCCAAGATTTTTTTTGGCCAATGGTATTGCACACTTAACACATATTTCAAATGTTTCCAGTTTTGTCGGACATTATGCTTCAGTCATTGAAACCACGGGCCCCCACCCCCGGGACATAGCGGGGAATTTAATGTACAAGTCAATTCCAACTGCGATCATGCCCTCCCCCCGGGCGAACCCCCGGGAATTTGACTTTTCAGAAAAAATACGGTCAAATTTCCGACGGTACGGGCGAAACCCATTGTCAAATTCCCAACGGTGCGGGCAAAAACATAGTCAAATGCCCATATCTGCCTTGTGCGTTTCCCATATAATTTTTAGGACATGAAGAGAACCAGCTAGACTTTAAATGTTTATTTAATTTTATGATCGGCTCAAAACGTTTAGTTTTGCAATTTTATATATAGTTTTGAAATGCTGTTTCTTTTTTATGCTCGCTAGTATTGTAAGTTTAATTTCTTTTTATCTATAAAATATCATGAAGACACATAACTTTTGAGACAAATTCTGCAAAAGAACAAGCAATTACAGCCTTTTTGACGTCCCTGGTCGAGTTCCAAACTTTATATAACGGCATTTTATATAAAAACTATTCACGCCGTGCAGTATGTTTTTATACACGCAAAAAAAATCACGTTCATCAACGTTCATCTACACCACAGCTGTGTCTACACCAAGCACTTAGCGCGACCGCTGGCCAACTTTGCGCCAGTGATAAGTCAAATGAAAGGGGTCAAATGCCCGATGATGAGGGAATGTTTTTGCGTCAAATTCCCGCCTATGCAGGATTAACCTCTGGTCAAATCCCGAGGGTTCGCCTGGGGGGGGGGGGATGATCGCAGTTGGAATTGACTCATGCATAACACTGACCAAGTGTTAAAAAAACATTAATTCCCCCGCCCCTGGGGCAAACTGTTCAGTTACGGAGTACAGCCGGGCTTCAGTATATCTAAACTATAAATACAAGACAAATTCCGCACCATGCATGCATTTGAGTTACCGGTGTTCCGCAACTTCCAGATTGAATTTCCGTCAAGTATTCGAGGTCGGTGTTTAAATACTGTATATAGCTATCAATTACATGGCCCTACAGGTTAGTCACCAAGTCTACCTCAGCTTGTTGTGAGTTTTTTAAGGAGCAAAAGAAAAAGTGAGATCTGAAAACGATAGAGCAAAATGTTTAACAAGCGAAAAACCTGTTAAGCTGCCCGTGTTTTGTCTGACACGCAGTGCATTTTACTATATTATTCTAACAATGAAAAGGCGATGCCTGATGCTTATTGAATATTAACGGCAACGGATGGCTGAGTATAGAGACACACACATTATGCTTGAAAGTGTTCCCTTTTATATTCCATTCCATAATTCCTTTATAGTCCAAAAATTCTGCGTACACGACGTATTCGGACTTCGGAGACGGTACACACATGCACGCCTCGGCGCCAGCCTGTGGGCAGATTACGGAATTTACGTTGGCACGATGACATCATACCGACACATTTCCCTATTCCCGCTTTCGTCTAGTATTCTTGGTTTCGAAAAAATCCCCTATTATTCTAAAAGAAATTCCAGCATAATGTGTGTGTCCCTATGGCTGACGATTAAGTATAAAATATAAAGTTTCAAATGCACGTAACTGTTGAACAAGTTTTTCGCTAGTCCCTGGTTATCCCCGGTGTATTCATATATAGTGGCTGTTATATCCCGGGTCAATTCCCCGGTTATAAAAACATTTGGTTAATTTCACCGTCCTCCGGGACATAGCATGTTGTTAAATAGCGTTAAATCCCCACTAAATTTTGTTAATCCCCCGCTATGTATCAGGAACGCTGATTCATGGGTGCAAATGAAAAATGTCCATTAAAGTTTTGCGATCATCAGGTTGTCATGACTGAACAATACCGTAAAGCATGTTAGCATGGGCGCACGAGAACTTTCAATTTGTCCGATTTCCACGAGGCGCCACCATGGTTGGTGCTGAGCAGAAAATTTTTGAAATTCGGAGTCGCTACATTGTCGTAAATGCCATTTTCGAGTGCACACTTTTCCATTTACAACTCAATTATAAGGACATGCACATTTTCCTTTTACAAGGACACAAAGTGTGTCAAAAACATGCTATTTTGTGTTATAATATTAGACTTTTAACTTCGATAGAAACATATATTCTTGTTTGTTCGTCAGAATTTGGACCACGTTTTGTTTTTCTGAGAGGTAAATAATATACCTTTTGCCCGGTGTGGATATACACTCGGAGTAACATCACACGCATCATATTCACCTGAGTACATTACACCAACCCCGGAAAAAAACATTTTAGTTACGGTATTTGTACAAATAAACAATCATTGTTTAATTAAATATGAATTAAATATAATTTTTGTCTTGCACACCCGAGATCTCGTCGAAAACTGCCGTACTCTGCAGTCTGGGTGCCATACTATGGCTAAAATAATAAAACAGTAAATAATAAAATGGCATGATGAATCGAGGCCCACCAAGGGGTTATGACCGACAGACGACATTCGTTAAAAAGAGGCGACAGACTATCTAAAAATAGCGACAAACAACAGTTTCTGACTGAGAAAAAGTGACAAATTGCGATTTGTGTTATGGGTCAAAAGTGACAGCGACATTTATTACCATAAAACAAGCGACAAAGCAGCTACAAAATTAGTGACAAGCGACCTAGGTTACACCCTTGGTGGGCCTCTGAATTGGGGTAATAATATATTCTATTTATTTTTGCAGTGACAAATTGAAAATCCAATGTAAAATACGTGATGAATACTCTGCTGTGAAAAATCTTCCTCTACCAAAAGAAACAACAGCAGGACTGTCAACTGAACAACTTAAAAGATCTCATCCTGAACAAGGTAACATGAAGTATTGTCATGACACTAATGCATGATTTCATATCAGATGTTTTACAACCTAGGGAGCTTGACTCCCTAGGCCCCCTAGGGAGCTTGCACCTTCGGTGCTCATTGCTCAAGTCGTTAGGAAGCCAGTTCATTTGAATGCTCTCCCACCACTCCCTAAATAATTATAAAGAAACATTTGGCTGCTCACCCAGCACCGAGGAAAACCTTGCTGGATCCACCCCTGAAATGTTCAGTTAATTAAGGGGCCACGTCCATATTCATGTTCATCCACCCACCAGATAACGTCGATTGATATTCAGGCATATTTTGACCGCTAAACTCACAATTATTGTACTTTACTACCATCATTGGCTGGGATTGTATTTTGATACAGTAATTAAACAATATACAATATTCGGATACTGGGATGGACGGATGGTTGCTTTGGACATTAATTGTCAAATTGCCACCGAGATAACGTTGACAAGTTCACATAAAAACCCACCCACCCACTCATAATGTTGATTCAACATTATTTGTGGCAACATGAATATGGACGTGCCCCTAATAATCTGTTTGAAACTACTATTTACAACATGAGCAGCTGTGTTGTATTGGAATATAAAAACTCGAGAGAAATGTCTTGATGAGAACATTTGAGTTGTATTAATTAATTTAACAATTTAAAATAAATTAATGATATTTGGTGAGAAAATTGAACTTAAAATTTATGTAAATCATCGCATTTTTTTGTATCAGATATACAAAGTATAAGTACTTCACACTCATGATTTCGTTTTGACATTGGCATCAAGTGAAAATTAAATTCCAGTTTGGATAGCAACTTTAGAGTGAATGTGTCCATACTGTAGTTGATATTTAGTGGGCACCAGAAAAATATTCTAATTTCCATTCATATGGAAACTAAGATAAGATACTGTAGTAAGAGCATTCTTTTCAATCCAATGAGTCTAAAACATATATAAACTGTAGCTTTCCATATCTCTTCTAATGCATTTTAGAACATTCTTCAGATAATGAGACTGAAGGCAACCATATTGGTATTAGAGTACCTTATTAGTTATTGTTCCTACCAACAGCCAGAACTGTACGAACCTCCAATATGTCAACAACACTACAGTAGATTTGTGATGGTCACATCAATTTTTTATTGATAACCATTGACTTTATGCATTATATTGTAGCATTTATGCATTTATAGGAGTGGTGCAAAAAATAACAATCAGTTTTCATGAAAGAATGGGTTGGCACGCCAATAGGGACCTTTGCAGCTGGCCTAAAAACACTTTGCATAACAATATCTGGAGGGCAAGAAAAATGCTTTGTCTGACTCCTTTGACTACAAATCTCACAGCTCTTCATACTCTCCACTCACTTATTGTATGCAACTATTTTTAGTCAAGTGCAAAGAGCTCATTTCCACACCACAGAGTACTTAATACATACAGAGCAGTGGCGGAAACTTTGCGAAACATTGGGGAGGGGGACCGAGTGCCGAAGAAACGAGATTTCTAGGCGGGTCTTAGGAGCATGATCCCCTGAAATAACTGCTGGAGGATCGTCGGTCAAGGTGACCGGCCAACTCAATTTTAGCTGGGACATACCGAATTTCTGGCCGGTCAAATTATTCTTCTTAAAGCAAAGCCTTAATAGTAAAGTACACCCCTAAAAATGTGACTATTTTCTCAGTATAGCATTACAAAAAGCCTTACTGTAATCAGTAATTAAAAACTCCTTCACATAAAACAGTTTGCACTGCGCTAAAACCATGGCCTTAACTCTTAAGCCAAAAGCATGGCCATGGGCTTTGTGACGTACTGCGTGGGAAAGCTGACGTACATTGAAGTTCTTTTCCCGCAAAATATTCGACAACATGTTATCATGGTTCTTATTTTAATTAATTATAATACTTGACAGTTGACAACTTTGTTTTGATCAGTTAATTCAAATGAAGATCAGTTTGTTCTTTACCGAAAGTGACCAGACAAAATGACCGGCAAGGAAAGGATTTGACCGGACAACTTCGCATTCTGGCCGGACATTGTCCGTTGACCCGCCGTTATTTCGCGCCCTGTATGCTAAGCATTAAAAAATGACATTTCAGAGAAAATATTCTTGATGATTAAATACATTAAATTTGTGAATGGAATTGCAAGGTGGTTTATTAACTTTTTCTCGACAAGTCCCACGCATCGTCAGCTTCTAGAAGCTGACGACTTTGTATGTTCATATCTTCGGTTCAGTGCATGCTATAAAGACAATAATACCACCATTTGATTCAGTGAAACAATATCAACTAATTCCTCACAATAGTTTTAGTCATTCGGACGTATCTTTTTTGTAATAGTCTTGTTCGAATCGCTAATTTGTTGATGTTGTTATTGTAGCAAATACATCTAGTGCTTCCTTATATTATGCTTTCATTTTTCAAAATGAAAGCTATGTAGCTAAAATTATTGAGACGGGGGGGGGGCGATTGCCATAGTTTTTACCAAAATAGCTGGCGGCTATGAGCAAGTGCCCTAAAGAGAGGCATTCACCATTCATCATTCTTTAAGGCACTTGCTAAGAACATGGCGGACTGAAAACATCCCTCACGCTAAATTAACGTGAAGTGAGACCTCTGTATGTACTAAGTACTCTGTGGCCACGCCCAACGACCAAATATAGTACAATGTGCAAACCATCACTGCATAGAAGATAACGACTTTTGTAATTTGCGTTTGACAGCAGCTCATCAAGAAGCAATGATACTTGGCGCTCATCCCTATCCAGCTGCACCAGGTATTTTATCTTTTGGAGCTTGTATATCAATTAACATCTTGATCCACCAATCAGTAACAGTCTATTACTTCAAAATTTGTTTCATAAAGGAATTCCTCTGAACAATCAAAATGTTGCCATACCAAGACAACCGTCTCAAGCTGGCATTCAACAAGTTTTGAAAGCATTGCCACCATCCAAAGCACAGTAAGTCATTCAGAAAATAGATTTGCGGGTTATGATAAAGTGAACTTGAAAGATTTTTGCTCTTGACTGGTTAGCTCTTGACTGGTTAGCTCTTGACTGGTTAGCTCTTGACTGGTTAGCTCTTGACTGGTTAGCTCTTGACTGGTTAGCTCTTGACTGGTTAGCTCTTGACTGGTTAGCTCTTGACTGGTTAGCTCTTGACTGGTTAGCTCTTGACTGGTTAGCTCTTGACTGGTTAGCTCTGTTGGTTGGAGCGCTGCACCGGAATCACAGTGTCACGGGTTCGATTCCTGCCAGAGGACCTAGTGTTGCATTTTTCGCAACCGTTCCTGGTTAGGTTTTAACTTTTAAATTGTATATATATATGCATTCAGAAAATACCCTTGGATTGCGCCTCAAGACGTGCCTTTCACATTGAAAGTTAGGGATGCACCGGAACCGGTTTTTTAAGTTCCGGCCGGAACCGGATCCGACCGGAACTGGAAAAAAGTTCCGGCCGGAACCGGAACTAATTTATTAAACCATATATAGTCATATGTTACTTTGTCCGCTGCCAGACAAGCAGACACTTCAAATCATCAAGTAGAGAGTTCGCAAATGTCAGAATAAAAAGACTGACAAACGTTAAACGTCATAATGAAGTGTTAATAGTGTACATTTCCCTTGCGTAGTCCAACTTTCTTCCTACTGTGACCTTTTGTTAGACACAAAAACGTTTGATATTCTATCTCTCTGAAAACGACAGAGTTCCGGTTCCGGCCATGCTTTTTTTACTAGTTCCGGCCGGACCCGGAACTCTAAAAAGTCGGGGTTCCGGCCGGAACTAACCGGCCGGAACCGAGTTCCGGTGCACCCCTATTGAAAGTTGGATGTCCATTCAGTACAAAATGTTATAGTTCAATCATTTAATAAAAATGTCTACATGTCTGCTCAACCATATGATGAAATTTGTGCTTCTTGACAGCTTTCAATTTAAAACAAAATGATCGCGCAACATTTTGAACTGAATGGAAATCCACTCAAAAGTTTTAAAGATTGTGGATTTTTTCCACTGACACCTTCCCCAGAATGTTGTTCGACTTAAATTCTGTATGACGTTGTAATGATTGTGACATTTGTGTTGTTAGAATATCACCTTCCCCAGAATGTTGTTCGACTTAATTCTGTATGACGTTGTAATGATTGTGACATTTGTGTTGTTAGAATATCACAATCTGTATTTATTTATTAATTCTGTATGATGTTGTAATGATTGTGACATTTGTGTTGTTAGAATATCACAATCTGTATTTATTTATTAATTCTGTATGATGTTGTAATGATTGTGACATTTGTGTTGTTAGAATATCATAATCTGTATGTGGCCAAACAAACTATCTTTTCTTTGCCAAAATCTGAACCTTGCAACCATTTTCTTTGACAGAATTGAAGCTGGTAAACAGACTCCAGGTGTGTCAGAGATCAGAAAACAAGCACTGATGTCTGGAGGGATTGAAAGACTAGCTGGTCCTTCGAAAGCATTAGTACCATCAGACAAGATGTCGTCATCAGCTATCGTTCAGAAACGAGCTCTTACCATGCCGAAACCAGAGTGGCATGCACCTTGGAAATTAATGAGGGTACGATTACAGTAGATCTATAATGGATATAAAATTGTGTTTTTTATTACAAATCTGTATAGCCTGATTCCATTTAGCTGCCCTGACCAAGTCATCGTCCCATGATGAGAAATGGTGTGGATATATGTTGTATGGAAATCTTTGACTGATTGCAGATATATATCAACACTCCATTACATTGGTCACTTTGACATGGTTGTGGAACCCATGACCAAACTGAAAGCATGCAGGCTTAAAATTAAAACCTCAGATTTAATGTGTACCGCTATGTTGTTCAATTGGGGCTTTTCGGTGGCACAATCGTCAGAGCAACTGCCTTTTACCTCTGAGATCCTGGCTTCGATTCTCGCTATAGACACATGACTTTTATGTGAAAACCCTCTGGTGAAAACCAGAGGCGTAGCTAGGATTTAGTCAGGGGGCAACAAAAACCTAGGTGGGGCCAGGCTTCACTTATATACTTTGTAGAATGAATTTTCTCAGGAGGGGCCCAAATTTTACCAGGGGAGCCTGGGCCCCCCTGCCCCGCCTACGCCTCTGGTGAAAACGGTCTACCAATAGTCTCCTGGTACCCCGGTTGTCTCCTACAGGGAATATTGAGAAGAGCCACCAATTAAAACAAGTTTGGCTGAAAAAAATTACTAGGATTTGACTTCACCGCGAGTATAAAAATTACAAACGAAATTTCTATTGTATATGCCAGCAGGCACGCGAGATCTTTCTCAGGTTCACAGTTGAGCGAGTTGTTTGTCTGTAAGAAAGTCCTTGCTTCGATTGCTACCACAGTCTTTCTAACAACTGTAACACGTGTCTGTGTATTATGTAGGTAATCAGTGGTCATACAGGCTGGGTTCGCTCTGTCGCTGTAGAACCTGCGAACAAATGGTTCGCCACAGGATCTGCTGATAGAACAATTAAGGTAACATGTTTAGTATTAGCCTGGTAGGGTTTAGCAGCGGGCGGCGAGATATGCAGGCTAGTTTAATATCTATTGTTTGGTTTCATCACAGGCGGCCAGATGGTGATCGACTTCAGATCCATATTGACACAAGAAAATTTAAAGGATATTTTTGTTTAGTTCTATTTATTTACCATCAAATACTTACAAGAAAAAGACTTAACATTATTTTCTGACTAGCGCTTAGTGAAAGGACAAGAAAAGATAGTTGCAGTGACCATCAAATGCCGTTTAACATGAGCCCCAGGTGTCAAGCGTGACGATTTTAGCTTTATGTGTCTAGCGTAACGAAAACGCCTTGAATGTCGGAACTGCCTGTCCACTCATTTGACATAACATTTCAAATACGACTCTGAGGATTGGACTAGATTTCAAGTCCGCGCGATTTGATCAAGTCCGAGGCGAAGCAGAGGACTGGACTAGATTTCAAGTCCGCGCAATTTGATCAAGTCCGAGGCGAAGCAGAGGACTGGACTAGATTTCAAGTTCGCGCGATTTGATCAAGTCCGAGGCGAAGCAGAGGACTGGACTAGATTTCAAGTCCGCGCAATTTGATCAAGTCCGAGGCCTGCCTCCTCCGCAGGCCCTCGTTGCGTCATGGGAAGGTCACGATCTGGCGAGGGCCTGCGGAATCTTGTAAAAAAAATGGCGCCGGCGTCACGTCAGCAAGTAAATTTCTACATAATCTTGAACATAAACAGATATAAAAAAGCGGCGTGAAACTTGTAAATTAAACTGGCTACTCTTAGGATGTGGAAGGAAGCATTTTTTAACGATAAGGTTTGTTGTCCACACCAACGTTGCACGAATAAAACTGCCTTCTTCGACGAAGCAGGTTCAAAACAACATTTATTCATTTTACAAGATTCCGCAGGCCCTCTCGAAAGCGTGACCTTCCCATGAGACAACGAGGGCCTGCGGAGGAGGCAGGTCCGACGCGAAGCAGAGGACTGGACTAGATTTCAAGTCCGCGCGATTTGATCAAGTCCGAGGCGAAGCAGAGGACTGGACTAGATTTCAAGTCCGCGCAGTTTGATCAAGTCCGAGGCGAAGCAGAGGACTGGACTAGATTTCAAGTCCGCGCAGTTTGATCAAGTCCGAGGCGAAGCAGAGGACTGGACTAGATTTCAAGTCCGCGCAGTTTGATCAAGTCCGAGGCGAAGCAGAGGACTGGACTGGATTTCAAGTCCGCGCAGTTTGATCAAGTCCGAGGCGAAGCAGAGGACTGGACTAGATTTCAAGTCCGCGCAGTTTGATCAAGTCCGAGGCGAAGCAGAGGACTGGACTAGATTTCAAGTCCGCGCAGTTTGATCAAGTCCGAGGCGAAGCAGAGGACTGGACTGGATTTCAAGTCCGCGCAGTTTGATCAAGTCCGAGGCGAAGCAGAGGACTGGACTAGATTTCAAGTCCGCGCAGTTTGATCAAGTCCGAGGCGAAGCAGAGGACTGGACTAGATTTCAAGTCCGCGCAGTTTGATCAAGTCCGAGGCGAAGCAGAGGACTGGACTGGATTTCAAGTCCGCGCAGTTTGATCAAGTCCGAGGCGAAGCAGAGGACTGGACTAGATTTCAAGTCCGCGCAGTTTGATCAAGTCCGAGGCGAAGCAGAGGACTGGACTAGATTTCAAGTCCGCGCAGTTTGATCAAGTCCGAGGCGAAGCAGAGGACTGGACTAGATTTCAAGTCCGCGCAGTTTGATCAAGTCCGAGGCGAAGCAGAGGACTGGACTGGATTTCAAGTCCGCGCAGTTTGATCAAGTCCGAGGCGAAGCAGAGGACTGGACTAGATTTCAAGTCCGCGCAGTTTGATCAAGTCCGAGGCGAAGCAGAGGACTGGACTAGATTTCAAGTCCGCGCAGTTTGATCAAGTCCGAGGCGAAGCAGAGGACTGGACTAGATTTCAAGTCCGCGCGATTTGATCCGAGGTTGAAATCTCATAAGAATAAATCACTACTCAAAGTGAAGTGAATTAATTTTGATCCAGTCCTACACGCGTAAAAATTGAGAAAATCAACAACTTGTTCCAGGTTGATATCAAGAGGCGTGAACAAGGTTGTGCGGCCCACTATGAACAGTATTGTCAACATGTTGTTACAGCATTGTTTAACTGTAACAGCTTGGAACAACATGGTTGACAACTTGTTCATAGTTGGCCGCACAACATTGTTCACGCCTGTCGATATCGACTTGGAACAACCTGTGCGTTTTTAGCCGTGTATAGGAATCAATATACTTCATCAGATATCCATTGTTATCATGTGAGCAAAATAAAGCAATATAGTTGGCTAATTTATCATGAATTATTGATGATTTGAGATAAATAAAGAAGAGATGACCCATACTGAACCTCTAGGGAGAACAGTTTAGAAGTATTAGAAGTATCCAATACAGCATATACTGTATAAAAAGTTAGTGTAGTTTAGCTTCTGATATTTGTACTATGTCTATGATTACAGATCTGGGACTTGGCCAGCGGTCGTTTAAAGCTTTCACTAACTGGACATATCAGCACCGTGCGAGGACTGGTCGTTAGTACTCGACATCCATATTTATTTTCTTGTGGTGAAGACAAACAAGTGAAATGTTGGGACTTGGAATACAATAAGGTCAGAACTGCTTTGAAAAACCACGGCTGTGTATTGTAGGATACTATCTACAACCAGGGCCATAGCTATAATATATATCAGGTACCTTTTAATATAACGATCTGGTATAATAACTTTATTAGCATGACCAACAGTTACAGGTATTGCTAAAGCTTTAACTACAATAACTAAACATACAAACTAAAGGTAACTACTATAGGCTAAATATTCATGTTTACATACCGTAAAAACAATCGATTTCAAAAGAAATCCGTCGAGCAGAACGCGGATATATGAATATACCCCCCCCCCCCACCCCAATTATCGTGTCTAGCTACGGCCCTGCCTGCAACTACCTACACTGAACCCTGACGTTTGAGATATTTTTTCAGGTAGTTCAAACACAAACCACGGCAGCTTGTTGTAGAATACTACCTACACTGGACCACTATGTTTAAGATGCATATTAAGAACAATTTAGCGCGGTAGAATTCCACTTTTGTTATTAGCATAAATTACGTGCAATGCAATGTTGTCTCATGTTGTGTTTCAGGTTATTCGTCACTATCACGGTCATCTCAGTGCTGTTCATGATATCTCACTGCATCCTACTATTGATGTTCTAGTCACGTGTGGTCGTGACTCAACTGCCAGGGTAATGTCTCTCATCTTTATTGTACCACTCTTTATTATAATGCCAAGATGCAACTTTGTCTGCTAGTAAAATGGACACGCGGTATTCCCGTGAAAGGATCTTGGTCTCACAGTGGTTAGTATCTTTCACCTCTACATGTCATCAGGGTTCCTGCACTATGCAGTTATCTGACAATAATTTCGCCTCATGTGAGAAGAATGCTTCCAGTTCTACCAAACACCACAAGTTACTGACAGTTCCCATATTAACACTGAACCAAGAGGGTTAGCTCTTACTGAAAAACCCCAGACACAACTGATAAAGCAATCCAGTATAAATAATAAAGATTCTTTAGTTTAGATGTAGATACAGCAAGCGCATCCGAACTTTTCTAATGGAACTTCAATTCTAGGTTTGGGACATGCGTACAAAAGCTTGTATTCATACTTTTGCTGGGCATACCAACACAGTCGCTGTAGTACGAACACAAGCAGCTGAACCACAGGTAATGTTTGTTGTGTAGGCGTTTATTGTAAGTTTCCGTGGTTGCTGAATTTCCTGAAAAGAATAAACAAACATCATCTCACAATTTAAGCGAAGTCATTTCGTCAGGAGATAAGTAAATGTTACCCTGTGCCATACATGTATGGGTTTTTCCTGGAACTTTTGGTCAGTTAGGATCACCAATATCTACACAACTTTATATTTTTGTCACGTGATGTTTTTATATCCTTAGTATAAAAGCTCATGTATTTTTCCCGAACTCCAGGAGATAAAGGGCCTCGAAACGTCGAAATTCTCCTTATATTTTTCAGGTAGTTGCATCACTACCAACGAAAGCTTGTTTCTATTTATACCAACTTTTATACTATAGGTTATATAATATATATATAATATAGGTTATATACTGTAGGTTATATAAAAAACCATGACCAGCCGACAATTTAAAAAAAGTAAAGTAAAAAACAAATTCCGAAAAACCCAGACATCTTGAGAATTCAATATATGATTCAAAATAAGACGCAGGTTGAGACTGTCAATTTTCGACTTTATTTTTTCAAAGTCATCTTCAGATAGAAGATGACTTTGAAGGAAAGTCGAAAATTTACAGTCTCAACCTGCGTCTTGTTTTGAATCATATATTGTATTCTCAAGATGTCTTACAATATTTTCTATCTTGATCTGACATCTAATCAAGAGCGTAAAATGAACTCTGCAAGATGTGTTCTCATATAATCTTGAATGGTCTGAGTAGGTATTGCCAACTACAAGAAAGCTGCAGATTGATACAACTACCTGAAAAATACAAGGAGAACTTCGACGTTTTGAGCGGGAAGTAAGTCACTAACTTCACGACGAAAGGCCTTCGCTCCTTGTATTTTTCAGGTATAGTTGTACCCCTATTCATCCGAAATTCTCTAACACAGTCTATATCATGTATACTATTACATACTGTTCAACACTCCAACCTTTACTATCATAATGACATCATGGATTTGGCTCGTCAACTAAGCTAAATTAAATTAATACATTGAGACATCCTAACATAACCAAACGAAAGAAACAGAAATGTTTTGGTATTCCCCAGGTAATCACAGGAAGCCATGATTGTACGATACGTCTGTGGGATTTGGCTGCTGCGAAAACTAAAGCAACGTTAACCAATCACAAGAAAAGTATTCGAGCCATGGCGTTACATCCAACACAGTAAGTCGTTTGTTGTGAACGTTGAAATACAAAGCACTAACACTGATGTACAGTGGTCAGTTGTTCAAAGCTGGGTAAGCTGAACCCTAATTGGTTCACCTAAAATTCCAAGCAAACTGCCCAATAGCTTGTTTATAAATTTGGAAATATTTCTTCAAAGATCTTGTCTGGATCAGTATAGGAGTTTTCTTAAGACTCTGAAGTTGTGAAATAAACAGATGTGCAGAAATGCATAAACTGAAACAGCAGGTTAACGATTTTAACCCAGAGACGGGCCAGAGTTAGCGCTAATCCAGCTTTGAACAACCAGCCCCAGGAGTAGAATTTATATAACTGGTTTTAATTATAAAACTCTGTTGCCGGATTTATATTTCCCGTCTTAGACGAGTTTTTCGTCTTTAATGTGAATTCGGCTAATTATTCCGTTAGTGGGATTTCAGCCAATTTTTGAGTATCACTCTCACTGGTCTGTGATGAATCCATCAATCCTATGATTACAGAATATATAATTCAGTATTAATTAAGCTTACAATGTAATCCCGCTAATTTCCCAACCACTATTTGTTTAGATATGCATTTACTTCAGCCTCTCCAGATAATATAAAACAATGGAAGTTTCCTGATGGCAATTTCTTGCAAAATTTTACGGGACATAATTCTATTATCAACTGTATGGCAGTGAACTCTGATAATGTTCTCGTTACTGGAGGTATGTATGAGTCGATGCAATCCGGGGGGGGTGATTGAGATGCTATTACACAAGTTCGTATGAACAGTATAGCGTAGATTGAATAGCGCAAGCGATTGTTCATTCGTATAGAAAATGAAGTTATTTAAACTAGAGCTGCTCGTTTCTATATGCCGTTACTGACATGTCTGCGACAATAATCTCTGGTTACTGTATACACACTCTGACTAAATATTTAATTGCTCCATTTCACATTTCTCTCAAATCTTCTCTCACCCATTTTGTCGACATAGCTTTTGCTTACGTAAATGGTGATATATCCAGGTCATATCTAGGATAGCATGTTCAGTCATGTTACTTTGTTAAAGGTCATATTTGTTCGTAGGTGACAATGGTTCAATGTATTTCTGGGACTGGAAAACTGGATATAATTTCCAGAGGTTCCAAGCTACAGTTCAACCTGGTTCTCTCGATAGTGAAGCTGGAGTGTTTGCAATGACGTTTGATCATAGTCAGAGTAGATTGATCACGTGTGAAGCTGATAAAACTGTCAAGATATACAAGGAAGATGATACAGCGGTAAGTCATTTAAAGTCGCTAACATGGGGAATGGTCTGTGCTAGTGTAGGTAGTGCCAAGAACTACCTGAACATCCCGACGAAACGTCGGGCCTGAACATCCCGGCGAAACATCACTTCGAAACGGGCCTTCGCTCGAAACGTCGAAGTTCTCCTTGTATTTTTGAGGTAGTTGTATCCCTGTCCATGCATCCGCAGCTTTCCACATAGGAAATGACTGCTCGATGTTTAAACTTCGTGGGTTTAGTGTTTCAGTGATGTAACTTAGCGCTTCCCCTCGGCAAGTAAAACGTCATTACAGGCGAGTAGAAATTGCTTTTTGGTTGCCTGGTCGGGCAAGTTGTTTTGCCAGAAATTTATAATTGCTGCACAAAATTTTTTGCTTGTTATGTTATGCATTTTGTTTTTGATTCTTTATGAGTAAATGAGTTGAAATCAACATTTAATTAATCAATCCTTCCTGCAATCGTTTGCTTCAAATTTTGCTAATATGTAAGGGAAAACTAGACCTGGCGAGAAGTGAATTTTATTCCGAGCAACCAATTTTCATGTCTATAACTTGCCCTCAAGTGGTAAAAATAGTTTCACTACTGAAGCCCAGTCCATTTTCCCCCGAGGACATACATGATACATGTATAATATACGTAGTTCCGGGACTACAGGATCAAACTAAATGAAAAATATAAACAATAATTTCAACCTTTTGAGCGAAGCCGCCCTACGTCAGCACGTTATAATAGCCAGGATTTCCGTATGAAGTTAAAACTTTTAGTCGTTGAAACTATAGGATTTGAGCGAATGCTTTACTAACTCTCCTCGTTATGTCATTTCCATCGTTTTGTGTTGGAGTCGAGTACTGGAGTCGGCTCGAAAGATACTGGCAGTGGCGGACACTCCGCTACAAATATCGGGGGGGGGAGGATTGGGTATGATGGACACTCCGCTACAAATATGGGGGGGGGGGGGTTATGTT